GGGGCAATATGCTGACTCTGTAAACCGCTTAGAGAGGGCTGAAAGCCCTATGAAGCGGTATATAAGTCTACTGTTATTGCTATTATTGCTATTGTTGTGCAGTGTAATTCAGATCCAGATCATATATTACTCATAAAATAAGGATGCTACTGTACTGGCCAATAACACCAGAAGAAATGTAGTTCTTTCATTATTAGGCTGTTATGGTTTGAGGTTTTGATTTAGTGAGTTGTGAACCATTGTTTAATCTTGGTTTGCTGGACAAACCACAACTGGCTAGAGTTGAAAGCAAATAAGACACATTTTGGCTTACCACTATGTCGATTTTGGTCAATTGTAGGTAAATAAATTATGACTCAGGGATGAGGTATTAACTTTGATAACCTTGATAAAAAGCATTTTATTTACAAAGTCAGCCATAGACTATATCACTATAAATGTTATTTTATAAGGGTGTTTGTGATGGAGTTATTCTCCTTATTATACGTTTTGAGTGGAAAAGAGTGATGCTGCTGTCCTATGTGTTTCAGGTTTTCTCATTTACTTTGGCTATGGAATTCGTCACAGCACAGAAAACAAGAAGAACAAAGATTCATCTCTAGAGAAAACAACTCATTTAATAAACGGCACGGATTCAAATGTCACTTTTAAAAAATGATTCTAAGGAAACCATGGCGTGAAATGGCTTATTTCATAACAATGCTTTCAATGTTATCCATTTACTTCTATTTCTCAATAGGTAACAGAAATGAAAGCCAGTTAAGTATAGAAGTTGGGGCATTAAACTAGAAACCTAGAGTCCATTAATTCTAGTCTCACAATTCTCACGTCTTTGTGACTTTAAGACAGTCCTTTTCTCTCAACCTAAGGAAGGAGGCAAGGGCAAACCACGTCCAACCCCCCCCCCCCAAAAAAAAAACCTTGCCAACAAAATTGCAGGGAATAGTCCAGACAGTTACCAAGAATCAAAAACTGACTTGGAAGAAAATTAGAGCAACAACAGATAATTAAATCATGTTCGCTAGATGAAGGCTGCGGTAGAGGACAAACTAACCCATAAACTGACCAAGTGTTCTTAAACTCTGGTGTTCCCACAACCTGCATATAGGGTTTGGGTAATAACAACCCAACAATTGTTAAAAGAAAACAGCTATAGAAACAACAGAAACAAGGTAACCACCGAAAGAACAGAAGTGTTTGTGCTAAACAAGGTAAAGGGGAACCAAAGTTACAAGAATCTCAAATACAGTATATTTTACAAGCTAGACTAAAGGAGGTGATTGCAGCATGTTGAACCTAATGATTCCACCCTTGCTGAGGCAGGTCTAGCAAGCCTGCAGGAATCCTTGGCTGAACCTACTAACAGGCCTTTTAGATTCTGAGGTTTACCCACCCAGTCCCAAGCAGAGGTATGTTTTAAAGATACAGCATCAGAGGGCTGAACTTCACAAGTCAGACCAGTCAAGCAGCAGGCAGACAGGAGAATAGACTCCAATGAGCAACATAGCTGATCTGTGCTTCTGGGAGGTGGTTCAACCTGGCTCCTTGATTGGCCTCCCTGAAAAAAAGAATGTGGTAAAACTTTTCTAGTCTCAAGTTCTGCCGTGGTGCTTACCTTGTGTGGTGCTTTGAATTCCAGATTTCATGTTATTGTGCCTCTTGTCTTTTTTGGGAGGAAGAGGGATTTGTTATGGTGGTCAGACTCCTAGCCTTGATCCATGCCATGTCTTTGTTTTGTTACAGTTGTCATCTCTAGCTCTAGGTAAAAAAAGGATTCTTGGCTTCTGAAACCTCTGTGTTAGCAGATCTTTGGACTTTTGGCTTGCTTGCTGGTTGGAAGACGGCAGAGCCAGTGCAGAAAACCTACATATTACCAAAATGGTGGAGCTTGAATCACAATGCCATGAATATCATCCTGAGCATTCCCTACCCCTTACATATTTTTCTGTAACGTTTCATCACTTTGGTATCTTCATAGCTAGTATAAGGCACTCCTGAGAGTAGAGGCAGCTGATATTTGAATCTATAATGGCCAGAGTGTTGGAAAAAAGGAGACATATTTCTTTGATTTCCAATTTTTCAAAATCTCAGCTCCCAAATCACCAAGCAACCCTTTAACAGCATCTTTTCAGACCAGAAACAAGTGCAGTGTCCCTTGTGCCTTTTTTGGAGAGCCAGAAATTGCTCTTGTTTTCACTTGGAGCTACTAGGACGGGATGTAGGTAGTGAGGTGAGCTTGCCTTGCAGAACAATTTTTCCAAACCTTTGGTCTACAGGTGATCTGTGGCATTATTCTCTTTGAGAAGTGAACAAAAGACTATCGTGATCCACGAATAATGATGGGGCTGATTTCTCAGAATGGCTAAGAGAAAAATGAAGCAATAATAAGCAATGGCTCGTCTTGCTGGCTGGTTAGCCTACCCCTAAATAATTTCCTTTTCTTATAGATACCAGCATAAGGGTAGGAAAAGAATTACATTGTCAATGATCCACATTTGTTTTAGCTACAGTTTTATGTAAGCCTTCATATTTTTTAATTCATTATTCTGTCTTTCATAACAATCACAAGACAACTTGTACAAATTTAAAACACAAAAAAAGCAATAGTAGGAATAATAATAGGGATAAGAGCAGTGGTGAAATTCAATTTTTTTTTACTACTGGTTCTGTGGGCATGGCTTGGTGGGTGTGGCAGGGGAGAAAAACTGCAAAATCTCCATTCCCACCTCACTCGAGCGGAAGGATATTGCAAAATATCCATTCCTACCCCACTCTGGGGTTAGTCAGAGGTGCTTTTTGCCGGTTCTCCGAACTACTCAAAATTTCCGCTACCGGTTCTCCAAAACTGTGAGAACCTGCTGGATTTCACCCCTGGATAAGAGAATTTGCTGGCTATTTATATATAGCTCATTCAAACAGTAAATTTCAGTCTCTGAATACACTTTCTCAACCCCTTTTCATAGTAGAAGATATTTGCTTTGTTTTCATGATATCTACTACTTATGGTTTTGGAATTTGGATTAAGGAGAGTGTCTTTTAGGAAATGGGTAGAAATGTTGTTCTGTTACTAAACATAAGGTATTGCCATTACTAAATGGTTGCACCTCATGAAAAGGACTATAACCCAGTTGAGCAGGTCTAGCCCTCACTTTTAGCTGCACATCACAGTATATTTCTGGGGTGCTTTAAGAAAAAAAGGATATGTTCACAGAAATAAATTTCACACAACAAGAAAAATAGACATCTATAAAATGATATTTTAAAATAACATTTGTGAATTTTGTGAATATTTCTGATATTAATTTTATCTTTTATTTCCACTGCTATGTAGCATATCTTAAGGCATCTATTAAGGCGTTTCAGGGGAAATGCAAATACTTGTTTAAATAATATTTTTCATAAAAAACTGTATTAACTGGTTTTCTGGATAAAAATATAGAGAAAAACAGCAGTGGCTAAACTTGTGCCTTTTTCTGAGTTAGTCCAGGAAGAAGACTTCCATTTGTTCTTATTAAAACTTCAATTCTGTATCTAGTAGTACTGTAAATTGAAGGCTCTCTAACTGAAATACAGTAAAGCCAGATAATGTGCTTGCTAATAAAGTGGTTTTCTAATGCACAATTGTATGGGTGAATAGCTACTGCTGGAAATAATTAAGCTATGAGAACTGAGCTGCTAAAATCTGGCAGTAGATGGCAGTAAGGAGATAAAGAAAGTATTTTGTTGTTGCCATCTGTGACTTATCTGGAATTATATATTTGAATCTAGTGATTCTACCTAGCAGTTGGGTCTAGTAGTGATTACGGCATCAGGCTAAAACCCAAGAGACTGAGTTCTGGTCCCACCTTAGCATGAAAGTCAGCTGGGTGACCATGTGCCTGCCACTCACTCTTATACCAATTTACCTCACAGAGTTATGGGAACAATAAGAGGAGAAAGTAGTATTACATAGGTATGCTTGCTGCTTTTTAAAAAAAATATTAGATTATTCATAAAAATAATAAAGATGAGATTAAATGCATTTCCTGTAATCTGTACTGTTACTGGAGTTTTTGTAAGCATTGTAGCTATGATGACCGTTTCAAATATTACTCATGTCACAGTGATTCATGTTTGCAATAATATGAAAATGTCTCCTGCAAAAAAGTCCTAATTTTTACATCTTACAGCAAGCAAAGAACCAAAACCAAATACCAATCCTGAACGGGTTTTTAAAGATCAGGGAAATAAACACAATTTACAGTTGTAAATGGGGTTGACAAAAGTGATAGGTATCATTGGGGCCAAAGGGGTGTCTGCTGCACTGGGAATAACTTCTCACCTACTATTTTTTCATTAAGGTATTCTTATCTTTCATTGCCTCATTTCAGAACCCAGGTATATGACTTGGTCCTGCAAACTGCAATCCTATGTTCCATTGGGCTTCAATATGTATCTATAAGACACTATTTATCCATTGTCTGTTGGCATAATGTAGTGCTGTGGTACATAAGCCTGTATATTCCTTTGTATAAATAGTTCTGAAAAACATAATAGATGTTCCTACAAAAGTCACTTCTTTAGAACTAGGCTTGGCCAATATGATAAATTAAGAGAACCAACCAAAATAATGGACAGAACAATGCTGCCCAGGAAATTTTTTTAATCAGTTATTGCATAAGTGTTGGTGCTGAATAATGAGAGCTTTTGTGGAGTTTTCCTAGAATCATGGTACAACTTGGTGATCTAGTCCTGCTGATACAGGATCCACTAGAGCAGGGATGTCAAACTTGTGGCCCACTGGCTGGATGCCACACCCACCCCTGGTTTAGTGAAGGGGGGGGGAGTTGTGATGTCACTTGACAACAATATGTCATCGTGAGTTTGACACCCCTGCACTAGAGCATCTCTGACAGCTGACCACTATTTGGTGAGGTAGAACTTACCACTTCATGTAGCAGCCTATTCTACCAAAGGACATCAGTCAGAAAGATATTCCAAATATCTAGCCTGAATCTACTTCCTTGTAGCTTTAATCCATTGGTACTATAATATTAGGCAATAGAGAATACAACCATTCTTTCTTCTCTGTGATACCTCCTCAAATATTTCAAGGCTGCTATCATTTCTCCCCTCCCTTATGTAGGCTAAATATACCAAGATACTTTTAACTTTTCTCCATCTTGGTCACCCTTCACTGAATCTGCTCCAGTTTGATGATATCCTTTTTGAACTGCAATGTCACAACTACATGTGATATTTCACATGTTGTCTAATTGGGGCAGAGTAGAGTGAAAAAAATTACCTCTCATGATCTAAGAACAGTTTTGCCCTGAACAATTAGTTCAATTGGATAGAAATTATTATATGTTGGAGAGGGTCACTCCAAAATCAGATTTTGTAGCACACAGATCATTACATTTATCTAGAGCAGTGGCAGTCAACCTGGTCCCTACCGCCTACTAGTGGGCGTTCCAGCTTTCATGGTGGGTGGTAGGGCTTTGATGTAACTCTGCTTTATAAATTTTATAAAGTAAAGTTACTTCCCTACTTTATAAATCACCATGACTGTGGAACCGGTGGGCGCTTAGAAAATTTTACTACTAACAGAGATACAAAAGTGGGCGGTAGGTATAAAAAGGTTGACTACCCCTGATTTAGAGGGCAGTTCAGAAGTTAGTTAAATCATTGTAATGTTTTTCCAATATAAAACTATATCAGCTTTCCTTGAATATATAGCAATACTAAGTACCAATATTTATTCACTTCATTCAATGTCTACATTGCACTAGAACCACAATAAACACCAATTTAATCTCTTCATTAGAACAATACATTTTAAGATCCAATTTCCTTGAATTTAAATTATTACATGTCTATAGCAGTGCTTCCAATTTGACAATCACTTTTTTTTAATGTAACTTGTAGCGCCACCCTACAATCAGTAGAGGGCATTGTCATTTATCAGCTTTACAAACAGTCAGTACAGTAAGAATTTTGATCTCTGTTCAATTTTTGAGAACCATTCTAATATACCATTCTCAAAATTTTGAACCAGCAAAGAGAGACTCTGTCAAACAAGACAAAAGAGTTTGATTCTGGAAGGCAAATTAATTAAAATGATTCTTTTTTCCATTGTCTTCCAAATCTGTGAGAACCAGTTATTTGATATAGAAAGTTAGATAATAAGAGAATATAGTCAGTGACTGATCATAATTCTAACAACAGAGAAAATGGGGGGACCCAGAACAATCAAGCTCACATAACTGAGTAATTTTCTTAGTGATATGAAAGGTGGTCAAGGATATACAGCCCCATGTGGCAGGAAAAACCTCAAAATCTTTACTTAAAGCAGTGGTTGCCAAACCTTTATGTCCCATGCCCCCAGGAAATGTTTGGTTAATATTTGCACCCTCTAAAACAATAATTATGACATGTGACCTGTCACTAAGGGACATAAGTCACTCTTTGTTATACCCCCTGAAATTGCATCTCACATTTCCTGAGAATGCAGTCAACCCAGATTAAGAACCTCTTCCTTAAGGTCTTTCTCCACTACTGTGTTAAGTGGTATCCACCCATCCTTAAATCAGTAGAAAATCATAAAGTTGTTGTCCCACTGGTAATTCCTATCCTAACACTATGGTGATAATCCTACAATTGTCCTAGCTTTAAGGCACTACTCATATAGATAGCTCCCTGATTTTACTAGATGAGAAATAAAGTGAAAATATTGTACTACTTTAATCCCAGCACAGCAAAGGATGACTTAAGCTTTTGAGTCACACATGAGCTAGGCACAAGATAAAAGAAATATTATGTAAAGGCACAGCAGAAGAAAGATGCAACGGAGAAAGAAACTTAGTTACACATCTCTTCAAATTTACAAAGCACTGGCTTAAAAGCCAACTGCTTTAGAATTTTGGTATAGCTCTAGTTCCATCAGTTGAAATCAAGTGTAAACCTTTCATTTAGTATCTAGTATCTCACAGATATGTGACTGTGTGAAGTGCAATTTATTTGCAGCTCCTACTCCTTTTTCTCTTTTTTTTTACCCCCTCACATGATCTATTATATGAGGTAGTTAATTCTGCTAATTCTTGGGAGAAGGAGAAGAGAAATACCTGGTCTGACTGCTGAATACCACAAAATATCTGAAGGGTGAACTCCCTGACTAGCCCTGAAATTCAAAGTAAAGTGGGAAAATCCCATTTTTCAGGATTTCAAAGAATAAGGGCATAAGAGAAAATCCCAACAAGAATTGTCCTTAGGCCATAGAATAATAACACCAGGGCCAGCACAGAGGTGTACAACCTGGAGCCAGGCCCTCCCTTTTGCCAGCTTTCGGCATGTTCCCCTCTGCACCAATACATTGGAAAATTCTTAAATAATCAGGGAATTATTTAATTTATTTAATGTGAATGTTATCTCTACTCCCACGTCTGGCCCTCATTTGTCAGAGAGGAGAGTGACCTGTGGCATGTCCCTTGAAGGCCACCTTAGTCCATGGGATTAAAAAAAATATCTGAACACCTCTGGAGTAGAATGCAATGATGAAACAGTCACATTGTGGTCTCCTTCCCTCCTGTTCTGTTTTTATACCACGCCAGTGTCTTTGGCCTCTCAAAGTGCTATGTGGCAATGAGTGAAGTCTCAGTAGAGATAGAAAAGGAGTGGCCTGAATCTCCATGAAGCACCCTGTACAAGAGCTCCTCTTTCTCTCGGTGACCTTGCTCCCTCAGCTGGGTCTCCTTCTCCAGGGCCTCACGAATGGTCAGAAGCTCCTCAGACAGCTGCCTGTTAAAGCATGGGAAGAATTACAATTCTTAGACCACAGTGTACAGATAGAAAGTAAGAAGTATGCATCACTTTTCCTTCCAAGGATTTGCCTCTTCGTCTATATAAACTTAAGTGTAAAAATTGCACAGCTTAGTGGCTACATTTAAAGACTTTTCAATTAGAAGGGCTCTGAAGCCTTTGTAGACTTCTATCCCTTTCTAATTGGATCTAATAATTTTAATTGTTTTCTGCATTGGTGAAGGGTTGGGGATTATTAGCACAATGGGTTCTTGATTCCTTGAAGATATTTAAGATGCCCAATTTACCCCTTAACATTGCTGATACTCTGCATGGTCCCCGAAACACAAGATTCACTCTCTGGAGGAAGATCCTTGAGGCATCAGAGGACAATCCCAGTTAATTCCAGAGCCAGAAAGTCCTATAGATTCTATTCTTATTTGTGGCTCTTCAAATGTTAGTGAACTCTTAATTGTCATCAGCTGTAGCCTGAGTCTGCACAAGATGCTAAGCCATGATTTCATAATTTCTTGAATATATCATTATAAGTCATAAACCATGATTTCCAAAATATAGTGACTTTTAAGACAAAGCTAGAGAAATGCCATTATGGCTTAGTGTGCTGTATAAGCCCAGCTAGTCTTAACAGTTGGGATGAATAATGGAAGGTTGCAGTTTAAAAACATATGGAAGCCACAAAACACTCACCCACTTCTACTAGGTGAAATCACACATAATATATTCTTGAAAGTAAGCATCAATTTTAAAAAAAACTGCCCAAGAATTTAGTAGTTCACATATTTCTAAAGCTTCTAAGTACAGTAGCCGTGAGACTTTGGGGAATAAAAAGATTTCCCATAGTCATCAGATTACACTGACACAGAAAACTGATCAAACAAGGAATCATCTTTGAATGGGAGCTAGTTTGGGTCTAACGATTAAAGCACCAGGCTAAAAACTAGGCAACTGAGTTCTAGTTCTGCCCTAGGTATAAAAGCTGGCTGGCTGGCTGACTTTGTCCCAAACACACACTCTGGATCCCACCCAGTTTACAAATTTCTTGTTGTGGTGAAAACAAGATCTTCTGCTCCTTCAGCTACTTGTAAAGTAATAAAGGGGAGATAAAAATCTACTAAAGAACATAACATTTTTTAAGGATTGTTACTGTAGTGAAGATATCACCTTGTCACTGTCACGTGGTTCTGCATCCGTACTTGGAGATCTTCGTTTTCCTGTTGTAGAATTTTAATTTTCTCTTCAAGTAGTAAGTTTGACTCCATCTAAGAGAGGACCAGAAGGGTGAGCAAACCTCAGATACAACAAAGGTATAGCATGCAAAAAGTTCACAGTGACATAAAGACCAAGTAGCAAGCTGCAGAACTTTATGGGAATGTGATCATCCTAAACATATTTATACCCTGGAAACTGTAGGTTTATGTACATGCACTAATAAAATCCTGGTCTGTGCCCTCATATCTGTAGAGAATTGGGAATCACTTGCGAATCAATTGGGAATCCTTTGTAGGAAACGGAAGAACATTACTGGTTTGTAAACTATTTTTCAAGCACAAATGCACCTTCTAAAAGTCTTGGATTACAATTCCAAGCATTAGCATGTAACTTTATGAAAAAGCACATGATTTGCAGGGAAGGTCAAGGGTTCCAGATAAGAGTTCCCAATCCTCAACAGCTCTAATTAGGGCTGAAAAATGCCTATCCATATCCCTCAAGAATCCTTACCAGTACAAATAAAATGTATTTTGTATTATCAGTGATCTGATCTTGAGTTCTACATGGATCTGCTCACAAAGAGAACTGAGTCCCTTAGTGATCCATCAACATAATCACTAGATGCTTAGCCTGTCACCTGGTCCCTCCTTCCTACTATTCCACTCGGGAGGTTGCATGCCAAATGGAAACAAGAACCACTGCCAAAGTGGAAGTGAATCATAGCCATATCCTCATACAGCCTATGAAGCTGTAGGAGGAGACCCCTGATTCAACCTACCTGCTCCTGTTATCCCATTAAGGCAAGGAGGGGATGGCAGGTTTGCATAAAGGAATCTAGTATGGCCAGTTGAAAAAAGCTTGCTGATTCTGGAGAATGGAAGATAAGGGCTTTGTTGTAATTCCTCCCAAATCAGTGGTGGGATAAGGCATCCCTAATTAGATGACTACTGATTGGTTGAGATATTTCTTTGCTTATCTAATGGCCAGGAAGGGGAAATTAATGGACTGTCAGTTCTCTGGGAACGCTGCCTATTCATAAAAGTGTGAAAATGCCAGTTCCTGTTGCATCAACATGTCCTAAAAGAATCTTCCCAAGCCATTCTTCATTTTAATAGTGAGATTAGATGACTCGGCCCATGAAAAAAAAAGGTCAATTGCAAGGACCCTTAGATAAAGGCAGTTACCTACCGTATATTATTTTCATTCCACAGTATCTAGAGGCACACAATTGGGAAAGGTGATTCTCACTCACTCTCTTTTGAAGCAAAATTCAGCTCTTTTATTAGTCTTTCCAGTTACATCTAAAATTCATGCAAGTAACCCACCACTATTTCCAGGTTCAGCAGCTTCTTGTCCAAGCTGTGGATGCGTTCATTCTTCATCTCAATGACAAAATGTAGACTCTCTAGTTCTTGCTCCCAGAACTGGCTGGGGGTCCCATAGTCCTTTAAAGGTTTTTATTTTAAAAAAGGAGAGAAATGCATTTATTTGTTTGTAGCGGCTCTGTTCCCCCCCCCCCCCGCACCTAGTATAAGTTGCCAAAATAGCTAGCAAAAAAAGGCATTAAGCTTCAACTAGTCCAGAGTAGGAATGGGCATGCCTTGGTTGGATCATGTAACATCTGTGCTTTGCGAGCTTCACTGGTTGCCAATTTTTTTCCAGGTGCAATTCAAGGAGCTGGTTGCTTCCTATACAGCAGGGGTGTCAAACTCGCGTCGTCACGGTGTCTTGCACTTACTTGCACTTGCACTTACAATGGTTGCAGCATCTTTCAATCAGGTGATACGATTTGCAACTTTCCCTGCTGGCTTCCCACAAGCAAAGTCATGTAGAAGCTGGCAGAGAAAGTTGTACGACTCTTGGGTAAGTCTCTCCCACCTGTGCACCTACTCTGAGCCTGTGTGCTTACGCCACACTTTCCTGGTCACCTGTACAATCTTGTGCACCTTCCCCTACCCAGCAGCAGTCACCCCCAAACCTCACCATGCTCCACTGCATGTCCTTTACCACTTGTGTATGCTTGCACCCCCTCCCCAGACACTACTGCACTTCCTTGCTCCTTCCCCCACCCAGCAGTAGCCATTTGCATGTCTTTGTCCTGTTTGCAAGCCATATGGGTTTTGCAACTTCCTGCCAGCTTCCATGCTCAGTTTATTTGTGAAAAGCTGACAGGAAGTTGCGAGAAAATATTTGCTTAACAGCCCACTATTTTCACTTAATGACAATAGCAACAAGGACTGCAGGGTTTACTGTTGCTAAGTGGTGTGATCATGTGGCATTATGCTTTATGTCCACATTAGTTAGTTGTAATTCAAGGACTATCCATAATCAGTTTCAAGCACACTAAAGCGATAGGAACTGTGAAAAGTAATTGTTTTTATGACCTTATAGTGCAGAATGGCTGCTGAAAGCAAAAGCATATAAGTATCATTCCTCCAACTTTTTAATTGTGGTTTTATTTTGATATGTTCAGAAGACCCTGCTGTTTAGATTCTGTTACTTGCTCCTTTGAAATAAATAAGATCAAGATATCCCACACAGTGTAAAGTCACCTGAATGTGCTTTTTATAATCTCTGCTCAGAATTGACTCTTCTACCCGTTTCATTTTCTCCTGAAAGGCCTTCAGCTGGGAAGTCAGCTTGTCAATGGTCTCCTGGAGCAGAAAGGTGAGACGGATTAGTCTTACTTTATGACTTTCATTGTATCTTCCCTGCTCTCCATTCTCAGTGCCATAGTGCTGAAATGAGTCGATTTCACCATTGGCTACCTCATTTTTAATTTCATCAGAACCTCAAAGGTTAATGATTTGGGACAAAACTTCCTTTTGCCATTTCTGATACAGAAGCCCTAGCAGTCGGAACGCTATACTACCATATTATTGGTTTTGGACATTTCTCCACCAATGATATTATAGCATCATCCAGCCATTGTTGTGATGTCACAACAAGACCTCCCCTGTTTCACTTTTATTACAAGCAGAAGACTCTGGAAGATGCCATGGGTCATTAATTAGGATGTTGGTGTTTCCAAACAAGAACATAATAGCAATTATAATTTTCTACTACCACACACCTATAGCTAGCTTCACCGTACTCAATTCATCAAAGTGCAATATATAATAGAATGATCCAATGTACATCTCACAACATTGTGTCCTCTAGAAGCACAAAAGTACAATTCCATAATTATCAATCAGAGTAAGGAGGCACATTGGGAAGGGACCAGGTAGAACAATGCAGATCAAAACAGAGATCAAATAAGTATAGGCTTTTTTGCTGCCATCTTGACCTGCTGAACTGAATCTGGAGCTTTCTGTTTCCCTGAAGCAGAGAAACTGGTACCTGCAAAGATGCCTGAGTTTTTTGGTAGGATTCGGTTAGGAGCAGCTTCTCTTGATCATGTGTTTTCTGGAGGTCTGCAAGAGAAAGACAAAATGGGGGTCAGAACAAAAGAAAGCACAAGCTCCATTTTGATGTATCGGTGATTTCTTTATAGGCAGTGACTGACAAATCACTCGTATTGAGTCACATCCAGGAGGCAGACAGAGAAAGCAAACAGATCATTGGAAATTGTATGGACAAAGAACCAGAAGGCACTGAAAAACAGAATGAGCCACATTGTTACAGTATTGCATTTTAAGTGAATATGAGCTATCTATAGGGAACAAGAACTGAATGATGGCAAATTAGTTTGGGGAGATGTCATATTGGTGATGAGCCAAGGGTTTCCTGCAAACACCACCAATTTCTAGAGAAATCAATAGGTACTTCTTTCTGTATAGCAAAATTATGACTAAAGCTTTTTTAGAGGTGGTAAGTAGACCAGTCATTAAAAATTGTGCTCATAAATGTGATGGTATTCCTGCCATTTCTTGCTGAGTCTCTGTGGTTATTACTTATGCTTTGGTCATTTAGCCACCTTTTTATATCTTTCCCATAAAACTGGAGAAAGAGGCTTGTTAATTATGCTGTTAATAAAGGACAGCTATCTGTGGCAGATAGGATCCCAAAGAAAAGCACTAAGAGGCAGAAGATCCAATAGACAATTTTGCAACCTCACTGTTGGGAGTGTTAGCTTGTTTTTCTGTCATTCAAACAAAGTATTAAACTGCAAGGCAAGGGATCCCCAATGTCTTTGGGAAGCCCCAAAGGACATCTGCACCTCATACCGTGGCCAGTCTCCTATTCCTTTCCCCTAAATATTGCCATCTGATGGCTGCCTTTTCTGTAATAGCCTCTGCCCTAAGGAACAGCCTCTCCCCTGACCTTCGGCAGCTCTCTGCCCTCCTAGCCTTCCATAAAGCCTTCCATAAAGATCCAGATTTTCCCCAAAGTAATGGGATAAGAATAGGTGACTGCACATTAGAAGTTTGACTTGGTGTCAGGTGTTGATTGCTTTTAATTTTTATTCATTTATTTGTTCAAGTTCTATGGTCACCCAACTCAGTCAATGATGCTATTAATGTTTTAGTATGTTAGAGTTTACTGTGGTTTTTATGTTGTTTTGATTAAGAGATGCCCAGGATTGTTTATAAGAGAGGTGGATATATAAATGTTTTAAGTAAATAAATAAAATCTGGACCTGTCTAAATGTGGGGAGACACAGTTATTTCATTCCGAGCCTTCATCTTTGACAGAGATTGTTACAGACTTGTTTTACACTAATCTGGATGATTATTATTTCTGCCTTTTTTATATAACTCAAGGTGGCATACATTGGTGCTTTATTTTTGAAAAGTCAAAAGAAATGTTACGGATACCATAAACATGTTTTAGATTCTTACTTTGCAGTGTTTCCTCCTGTTCTCTCTTCAACATATCATATTTTTTAGAGAATTGTTTGTGCTGTAAATCCTCCTTCTCTACCTAAGGAAGGGAAAACTATAAAAGGTTAAGCTGCAGATAAATAAAAAAATACATTATTATCATGAAACATACACTATAATTATCCAAAAAGAATTTTGAGTGGTTTTCCTCAATTGCGCTCTTCTAGATTACAACTCCCAAACCCCCCAGTTGACTGAAATGGAAGTGGCCAGATTAGCATTTTAATTTTATGCAGCTTTATGAGTAACCCTAATGAATTTACATCTGAATACACTTGCATAGGATTTTGAATAGAGACTGGTGATGTTGGAAGCATTCTTTTTTTTTTTTTGTAAAAGTTTTTTATTTTTCCTTTCAAATTTACTCTTAAATATACATTCTTATATTTGCTATTTAACATTTGTCAATTCATATCATTTTTCCGCCTGTATATTTACATTTTCATACTTTCTTACTTCCCCTCCCCCTGATTTAATAATGTGTCATCCGAGTTATTTGTTTTATGCTTTATTCCTTTATTCTATTTGTATCTTTTTTCAAGCCAAACATAAAATCGTCCCCATGTCCTATAGTACACTGATTCCTCTTGTCCTTTATTCTCAATGTCAACCTGTTCATTTCTGCACAATCTAATATCTTCTTTTTACCTCCCCTTCCAAATATAATTCTGGCTGCTGTTATTATTTGTACAATCAAATATGAATCTTTTTTACTGTATTTCTCTGATAGAATACCAATACCTCTTTGGGCTGATGTATCATTTTCTCTAACCATGTTTGTATTTTAACCCAATAGCTTTTTGTATCCCTACACGTCCACCACATATGATAATATGTCCCTGGTAATTGGTGATATTTCCATCATTTAGCTGATATATCCTTAAACATTTTTGCTAATCTTTCCGGTTCCATGTGCCATCTATAAAACATTTTATATAAGTTCTCTTTATATGCTGTCGTCATTGTCAATTTATAGTTCCTTTCCTATAGTTGTTGCCATTTTTCTAATTCTATTGTATATCCAAAGTTTTTTGCCCATCTTATCATTGTTTCTTTAACCTCTTCTTCTGATGTTAGAAGCATTCTTTTCCCCTACTAGAACATCAGATCAAACAGATTTGGTAGGCTTTTAAAGGGGGAGTTGGGAACCCATGTCCCCCCCAAAAGGATCAGTTGCAAAAAGTGTGTTTTCATCATGGAGAATTATCAATTATTAACAAAGCTCTATGGCACAGAGATAAAGAAGCAGATTTGATGAATGAAAAATGATAGATTAGTTCGTATTTAGTTCATATCCATAGTCAACAAACAACCTTTGGCTGTTAAGGATAGTCTAATCTGCAATAGTGGCAAATATCTGTAGCTGCAGTGTAGGATGAGGGTGAAAGCTTCTTCTCTGAACATGTGGGTTGGTTTCCGAACATTTTGTCACCAGGCTAGGTAGACAGCAGACTTCAATGAAGTCTGCTGTCAACATATGACAATTTAGGTAGAAATAGTATAGCTCATTTTCGATAATAATGCCCATGTCTACAAGTCTTGGGTGGTAACTATTGTAAATCAGCTAGTTACCGTTAGCAGAAACTGGCCCATGGTCTACTGACACAGGAGCCAAATAATAAAGCTGTTAATGTCTCCATATTTATCCAAGCAACATTATTTTGGTGAGCTCTGAAGAAAATTAATTCTCCTCAGTTTGAACAGCTTCTATTAAAGGAGAAAGAAGGAAGTAGATAAACTTTCCCCAAATTTGGGAAAACCCACAGGGATTTCTCTTGCAGTACCACTTTCCACAAAGAGTGAGAAAAGGGGAAATTGTAAGAAAAGAGCAGTTGTCAAATTGGTGAGGTTTCCAATGTACACGGAGAAGCTAACATTTTTATTTGTGTTTTTTTAGAGATCCCAGGTGAGTTCAAATATGTGGTCTTTAAAAACAGTGAGTTCAAACCAACTGAGGTAATATAACAAAGTTGTTCATCTTCAAATACAACACTACTCTACTCAGGTGACACAAAAACGGGAGGCATATAAATCCTGAGTTTGTATGGCATCCCCAAGGAGTGTATTAGCGGCTTATCTGAATCTGATTACTGCAGAAAACAGAAGAAAAGGAATTTCAAACTGAAAGGAAATATACATGCGCACCTAATTAGATGCATATCGAATGGGCAGGTCTAACCTGGAGTTGAATGTCCTGGCTAAGTCTGTGAGCATGGTGAACTTCCTTCAGACGATCTTCCTCTTCCTGTTGTTGTTGCTGGAACCTTGTGGTCTCCTCCATCTGCTTCTCCAGCAGTGCAGCCTTCCTTTTTTCTGCTTCATTGTGCAAATAATCTGTCTTGGCTTGTCCAAGGAGAAGGGAGAAAAGAAGAATTACATATATGTGGCTTTCTTTTCCCTTTCCCCATCTTGGTTGTTATGCTGTTATTTTTCCTCCAACATTGTGATCAAAGCCCAGTTTGTTATCTAAAAGGGTTTCTGGGAACAGATACCACATGTCCTATCAATACAGGTAGTTCTCCATTTACGATCACAATTGCGCCCCAAATTTCTGTTGCTACGTAAGGCATTTAAGTAAGTTTTGCAATCTTTCTTGCCACAATTGTTAAGGGAGTCACTGCAGTTATTCTGTTGGTAAAACAGTTGGTAAAATGAATCTAGCTCCCCCATTGACTTTGCTTGTCAGAAAGGCGCAAAACCACGAGACACTGCCACCATCATAAATGCGAGTCAGTTGCCCACCTGAATTCTGGTCATGTGACCATGGGGATGTCACAACCATCGTAAGTGTGAAAACCAGTCATAAGCCACTTTTTAAAAATGCCATTGTAACTTTGAATGGCCATTAAACGACTGTTGTAGGTTGAGGACTACCTGTACAGAAGAACGTGAATTTCTGAAGAAGCTTCTGGGATATCTGACATTGCTAGCAAGACTGCTCGTTCAGTCACACACAATGTCTAGGGTCCCTCTAGAGCTAGAAGAGTCTGTGAAAAGCATCAGATATAAACTGGAAGTATCAAATCTTTATTTCTCTACGTGCATGATTTGCTTGCTTAAACAAGCTACTCTCTCATGCCATTTGCAATCAGTGACAGATAGGAATATTTGTCTGTCATGAGGTTAATGAGGCCTTATGAATGTTATATGCAGTACAGAATAGAGGAAGAGGGTTACATAAATCTGGATTCCCATGCATCGTGTCAGGAATTAAAACTCCCTAAATAATTCAGAGGGAACATGCAAAGAATGAGCTGCGGGTATCTCAGGTCTTTGATCAAACCAACTGATGCCCTTGAATATAGAATTCTGTCCTGAATACCACATCTGACCTAACAACCTGGAAAGGAGATTCTTTAAAATCCCAGATGAACCCAATTAATATTTATAAATGAAAACAAAATCTGTTCGCTGCAGTCTTTTCATTATTCACCACTGTATAAGGAACCTGGATGAGCTATAATAAGCGCTAAATGCTGTTCATTTAAACAACTGGAATTTGGTCTTGCTTCTTTGTTGGGAAAGCCATAGAGTTTTGTTTATTTAGAGCAAAAAATTGGTGTAGCGTAACATGTTAAGTCACATGCGCTATCATTTACTGACACTATGAACTAGTGAAAAATACCTGTTTATATTGCAATTATAAACATTCATACTCCAAGAGAGCAATGACATTGTATAGATGGATACACTATAGCTCAAGAGCTAGAAAGAAATATTCAGTATAATTCTGTTACATGCTTTGGCTGATGGGAACACATTTGTCAGCAGAATGCAGGAGAATCTGTTTTCTTCTATCCAAGCATTCTTTTACGTACCCAGAAAAATCTACTCTGGATGAGTGGGGGAAGACAGCTCCTCCCAAGAAGATTTGTGATCCTGAATACTTAAAACCTTGGTTGTTGTTTTTTAAATGGCAGTGTATTGCATGCTGACTGATGTTCCCTGTGTGTAGAAGTGCAATTTTGAGTAACAGAGTTCAGTGTTTTAAGATTAAGATTTAGTTTATTTGTATGCCGCCCTTCTCCAGGAGGGACTCAGGGTGGCGAACAACTCAAAAGGGAAAAAGGGGATACAAACACAATACACGTAATTAAAATACACAAGAATCATACAGCCATACAAGTCGAGAGGGGAGGGGAACTCATCAACCCCAGGCCTGCCGGCACAGCCAGATTTTGACGACTTTCCGGAAGGCCTGGAGAGAGGTGAGGGTTCGAATCTCCGCAGGGAGTTCATTCCAAAGGGCCGGAGCTGCTACAGAGAAGGCCCTCCCCCGGGTGGTAGCCAGATGGCATTGGCTGGTAGACGGAAACCAGAGGAGGCCGACCTTGTGCGATCTAATGGGTCTATGGGAGGTAATTGGCAGCAGGCGGTCTGGTCTCTCAAGTACCCAGGTCCAATACCCTGAAGGGCTTTATAAGTTACGACTAGCACTTTGAAGGGTATCAGGAGACCGATCGGTAGCCAGTGCAGCTCACGGAGGATAGGTGTAACGTGGGTGTACCGAGGTACACCCACAATCGCTCGCACGGCTGCATTCTGGACGAGTTGTAGTCTCCGAATACTCTTCAAAGGCTGCCCTCCCCTCCTCTCCAAGGTATTTGTAAGAACTCTGTTATGTTTTTACAATAATAACTTTGGAGCAAAAGCCTTTGGAGCAGAGGTGGGTAGTAACTCGGCCTGCCACACGCCCGAACCGGTTCTATTGGTGGTGGCGCTCTCTTGATTTTCAGTTCTGAGCATGCGCAGAACAATCTTCATTGCAAAAATGTTATTTTTTCCCCTTTTCTAACTTTGTGCGCATGCGCAGACCTTTTTAGGTGCAAATGTGCACCAGTAATGGCAGCAACCCACCCCTGATTTGGAGCAAAAAGAAAAACCTCAACAAAGTGATTAGCATAGCCTCTCAGTACAGTATACTTGATAGAACACTAAGGATTAGTACATGGAGATAATAAAGCAGGGAAGGCATAAAACTTGCTCCAGAATCTAACATTATTTAACTGTACCAACATGTTCTGCAATGGTTCTCTGAGCAATTTCTTTGAATCCCTCCCAATTTTTTAATCTCTGTTGCAAACTCACCTCTCCCAAACTTTGCTTACTTCCCACAATGATTGATTGGGTTGGAATTTTCTAGGGAATTTTCAGCCAGCCCATCTGCCAAAGCTTTTGAACATTACGAAGTTTTATCCTTAGTTTAGGTGATATAATTAAAGTCAATAATTAAACCTACCTATGATAAGAAATCAGAACAGGTTACTATCATGGTCTCACACACACAATCCTGGATTAATATACTACCCGTATGAACACACATGAAATCGTTTTCTCAAATAGAGTTTATTCCAAAATCAAATTTAGGATACACATGAGACTACAGGTAGTCCTCAACTTACAACCACAACTGAGCCCAAAATTTATGTTGCTAAGTGAGAAATTTATTAAGTGAGTTTTGCCCCATTTTATGACTTTTCTTGCCACATTTGTTAAGTGAATTACCACAGTTGTAAAACTAGTAACATGGTTGTTAAATGGATCTGGTTTTTCCTCATTAATTTTGCTTGTCACAAGGTTGCAAAACATGGTCACAAGACCATGGTCATATGTGTGAAAAATGGTCGTAAGTCACTTCTTTCACTGCCATTACAACTTCGAACAGTCACTAAATGAACTGTTGCAAATCGAGGACTATTTGTATTTTTAGGAATACCCTGTTGTTGTTACTAATTCTTCGTTGCCGTCAGACAGGTACACCAGTCATTGTTGCTACTTTATGTCTACCTTGTATATAGCATGGTACAGAAGAGGCTATGTCCCACTCTGTAAGAAGAGGGTTAATATATGCCAATCTCCTATGCATGCATCATTTTCTGGATCACAACAGATCAGATGTACACCCAGCTTGCTATAGATGGAATCCATCTGCAAGCTCCAGATCCACATTTCTGTGTCCATATTAGGGCAGAGTCTTTCTTAGGTCACCATGAAGTTCACGAAAATATACAAGCTATCTCCCAGCTTCTGCGAATGCTTTATGGAAACCTGGGGTATCTAGTTTGCAGAGCTATTTATATGCAAAGAGTTTCACACAGCACTTGGTATAAGGCAGGCAATTCCATAGCAGATATTTCCCCAGAATTTAAGGAAGAATTCGATTTCTTTGAACCTGTGAATTATAAGTGCAACAAAAGCAACACCGGAGCAAAGTGGGAAAGGAGAATATAAGAAAAGGAAACCGTCCAACCCACTTCATGCACAGCTTGATGCACTAAATAAAGAATAAATAGTTATCTAAAGGTTTTCTCAGTAACTTGAAAAGCTTAAGCTAGGAACTTTGGGGTTAATATGTTACTAGGCCTGAAAAACCTACATTTAAAAAAAAAATAACTATTTGTTTGCAGAGATGAGAGTGCATGACTACTCAGTAACATTAAGGAGAAGATGATTGCCAGGTTTTCATATACTAAAGGTAAAGATAAAGGTTCCCCTTGCACCTATGTGCTAGTCATTCCCGACTCTAGGGGACAGTGCTCATCTCCGTTTCAAAGCCGAAGAGCCAGCGCTGTCCAAAGAAGTCTCCGTGGTCATGTAGTTGGCATGATTAAATGCTGAAGGTGCACGGAACGCTTTTACCTTCTCATCAAAGGTGGTTCCTATTTTTCTACTGGCATTTTTACATGCTTTCAAACTGCTAGGTTGGCAGAAGCTGGGACAAATAACAGGAGCTCACTCCATTACAAACTCAGCATCTTAGCCACTGAGCCACCATGTATGTATGTATGTATGTATGTATGTATGTATGTATGTATGTATGTATGTGTGTGTGTATATATATATATATTTAAAGTCACAACCCCTGGTATGCCCCAATTATGGGAGGAAGCTAACTGCTTCCATTCTCTGTCAATCGGCTTGTCACAAGAGTCGCAAGAGTTATTTATCAGCACAAATAAAACACACACAGACACAAACACACACACATATAATGTATTACTTAATCCATTACTTCATTCTACTCAAATATATATTTATGATGTTTGACACCACATTATTCACATGCAATAAACAACCAAAGGCTCCTACATTACCTTTATTTACAGGCTACTGACATAGACAGAGATGTTTTATTAGGATTGCAATTCCCAGATGCTATGTCAAGAACCAAAAATGGCTTTGTGAATGGAAGGCATCTTTAGATAATGGGTGAGGGTACAGGGGTATAGAGCAAAGGGTTATCTACATTATGTGGAGCAAATGTGGTTCAAACAAAATTTATTTGGTAAAATCTCTTATCAAATTAGAAATGAATGTTTTATGTCCATCAGTTATCAATAAGTCATTACTCTGGTTATTAAATCTCTCGTAATGGCCTTTAATGGTGCATCACAGAGGAACAATTTTTTTGACCCAAAGTACATTAAATAGGCTAACTTACAGAATGCATCCAAAATCCAGGACCCATAACTTCCAAGGGAATGATATGTGGGAAAGTTGTGGCTGCTTCAGTGTGATCTTCATTTTCAAAGTTCCATGACAGATTTCCAGTCAGTCTCGCAACCCCTTGCTTCCTCCCCCGTCCCACAGCAACCACTTACCAGCAGGCAGGGAAGGGAAGGGAAAGGAAGGGAGATTTCTTATGTTCCCTGTCAGATTCCCACAAGGAAATTTACATAGGGAAGCTGACAGGAAATCAGAAGTTGCACTCATTCCCAATGGGTATTTCTGCTTCTGTTTGGATAAGGACATATGACCCAACAGGGCACTGGTTGTCTAGTATTCCCTAAATCCCTTCTGAAGCAAGACAGTTTCCCTATATTTCTTGATATGCAGGTGAAACTCAAAAAATTCGAATATCATGCAAAAGTTCATTTATTTCAGTAATGCAACTTAAAAGGTGAAACTAATATATGAGATAGACTCATTGCATGCAAAGCAAGATAGTTCAAGCCATGATTTGTCATAATTGTGATGATTATGGCTTACAGCTCATGAAAACCCCAAATCCACAATCTCAGAAAATTTCACCTGTACAGTAAAAAAGAATTGATAGTCTCGTGATGTTAAGGATATGAGAGTCCTTAGTATCTCATTCAAGAAATTAAAATAGGCTTGCTCCAGGGGAGGAAAGCTATGGCAAATCTAGACAACATACTAAAAATCAGAGATATCACCCTGCCAACAAAAGTGCATATAATCTAGGCTATGGTTTTTCCAATTGCAATGTATGGCTGTGAAAGTTGGACCATAAGAAAGGCTGAGCGTCAAAGAATTGAGGCCTTTGAACCATGGTGCTGGAGAAGACTCCTGCAAGTCGTTTGGACTGCAAGATGATCAAACCAGTCAGTCCTAGAGATCAATCCTGACTACTCTTTAGAAGGTCAGATCCTGAAGATGAAACTCAAATACTCTGGCCACCTAATGAGAAGGAAGGACTCACTGGAGAAGAGTCTAATGCTGGGAAAGATTGAGGACAAAAGAACAAGGGGACAACAGAGAATGAGGTGGCTGGATGGAGTCACTGAAGCAATAGGCATGAGCTTAAACGGACTCCAGAGGATGGTAGAGGACAGGAAGGCCTGGAGAAACATTGTCCATGGGGTCATGATGGGTCAGACATGACTTTGCAACTAACAACAACAACAAAGTATCTCATTAAATATGTATGCATAGTAGCTTCAGTTCTACAACTTATAATCCCCTATCTGTGAAGTGGGTCCATCCAAGAGAAACAAGTTTAGAGAGGAAGAAGTGGTAGTCTCTTTTCACCAGTTTTATTCTGTAACTCCTCCCTGCTGAGCTGAGGCTCCAATAAGTCTTTCATGAGAAGGAGTATGGGGAAAAGTAGAGATATAAGCTCAATGCCATCTCCAATCTTCTACTTTTTGGCATGGAAGGAGGATATTTGAGAGAATAATTTATTTGAAGGCCTGGATATTTAGAGAAGTTTATAAAAATCCAGATTATTCTATACTTTGCAGAAATAGCTATGCATGTGCGTACACACATTGGCATTTTTCTTCCGATCAACCACACAGCCGCACAGTGGCTCGGCAATCTACTAGGCACAAATTACATTTTTAAATTCTCCATTCAATTTCTGGCAGAAAAATTGGGCAGACAATTTATCCAAATTTTTCTAAGAAAGAGTCTTCCAATAATCCTAGAAGCTCCTATTAGCACTACAATAGCAACACAAGAACCAAGGTGGTGCAGTGGTTAGAAAGCAGTACTACAGGCTAACTCACTGCTGACTGCTAGTTCGATCCTGATGGGCTCAAGGTTGACTCAGGCTTCCAAGGTTGGTAAAATGAGGACCTAGGTTTTTGTGGACAATATGCTAAACCGCTTAGAGAGGACTGTAAATCACTATGAAGTAGTATATATGTCTATTGTCTAAGTACTATGGCTATCGCAACTGAAAAAGCCCACGGAAATTTCCCTTTTGATATTTTTCCTTAGGATTTAATTGAAGTGTGAGAAGCCATGTAAACAGCAGATCATTGGAGAGAAGATTGGATGATATATACATCTTTAGCTACATCATAACTGAATAAATACAACAATATGACACTCATATTTTCCATGACAATTTTACCAGAATCCTCTTCTCCTTTGAGAACAAATTTTCTTCCATCAAATTGAATGAATTAGGAGGGGGGAAAGGTAAGTTCTCTGCTCAACAATTATAGCTGTCAACAGCAGGTTCTCATATTACTGCACCCAAATTCATCTCCAAAAATAATAAGAACTTTCTATGTGTAGCCACTACTTCCTCAGAAACAAAGGTATCCTTCAGTGATTTTTCAAATAGAAAAGCCTCAAAATAATTAATAACTATCTGTACCTTCATTCTTCAGTGCTATCAATTCACAGGAAGCTGGTCCTCTGTTATACTGAGTTTTTCTTTCTTTCTGTATAAAAGACACAAAGAGAATTATAATTTACTATATGGAGGAGGACAGGAAGGTCACAAAGACAAAAACCTGACAGAAACAGATCATTTTGGTGAAATTTTGATGCTGGCAACATGGGATATTCTCTGAATTCTTCTAACAGCAAATTATTCAATGGTGGCATAGTTCATAATTCCTCAGATTGAAGATCAGTTCCTTTTTCACTTAAGAACTGTCCTTATTTACCATCTTGTGAAATCAATTATATCCTCTGTGTTTGGTATCATTGCTGCCAATGTAAAATTGTGTGTGTGTTAAGAGCAGTGGTCACCACTGGTGGTCCATGAGAAAATGTTGTTGGTCCCCAGAAAAATTATTTGCATTTTTATATTTCACTAAATACTATTTATCATTTTAAAAAATTCATAGTGGTCCGTGAGATTTAGAATTATGAATTTAGTGGTCCCTGAGGTCCAAAAGGCCTCTAACACCTGTGTGTTAGAGGCAGAAGCCACCAGACTGTTGCTAAAGTTCAGGTTTCTCCACCACATGTAAAGACATTATTGGTACACAGCTAGCTCATCATGTTGGAAAAACAACTGCTCTGTTTTGCCACTTTTGAGGCAAAGGTCATGAAATCTAGGCAGAATTTATTCCGTTTATTTATAAAACATTCTATTGTTCATGGTAGAGTACCTATTTCCTGGCAGGAAATGTCAGACTTTCCCCATAAAGAAACAGCATATCCTTGGAGTTCCCCTACAAGGAGATCACAAGCAAAGTTTACCAATAGATTTATCTAATAAATTGGGCTTAACTTGCTAAGTCTTTCTTAAAGATGAAGGCATCAATCACCTGTTTCTTAATACCAAGCATAAAGACTTCTAACTCACTGGTAAGCAGCATGTCAAAGATTCCACATTCGGTATCTGGCATCTCCTGGTAAGGCTTGGAAAGACTTCCTGCCAATCAGTTTTGGCTATATACTTGGGCTGAAAATAGCTGAGATGTAGCATGGTCTGAATCAGGACTGTAAGAAATTGTCTACTGTTATCTACATCTTTGCCATGAGTTAAAGTAATGCTCCCTTTAATTGTGACAGACTGAAGCATCACACAGCATCTCATAGCTGTGACATGGCACTGGGTATCCTTAGTTTCCCTCATCAGTTATCATTTCATCCATATGTTTTATACTATTAAGGTAAAGCCATATTGTTTCTCCAAGATGCAAATACATTGTTTAAAATATATGTTTTTTTTTTAAAAAAACAGACTATTCACACATAAAACAAAAAATAGTGCCCGGTAGAAGCAAATTACAAGAATAAATCTTATTCTGCCTTTAACTATAGGTGTCCACCTTGTACATATAGCTGAGTTGCTTTTCTCCATATTGCCTATGCTTCATCACGTCTCGGATGCTATGAAAAGAAGAACTGCTAAGAACTGCTCACAGAAGGAGATTTGTGATAATATTGGACTGCTGCAATGAGCTCTATATGGAGCTGCCTCTGAAGAAGATTCAGAGGTTTCAACTAGTGGAGAATGGGGTACGTAGTGCTGGCTCTTTGGCACATGTATCACTACTACTTTGTGAGGTGATTTTTTTGCTGGTGCCCAGTGCCAATTCAAAGTGTAGGTTGTCACTTTGAAAGCCCTTCATAGCTTGCGACCAGGTCACTTGAAGGACTATTTATTTTTCTGGATGTTTCTACTTGTTTCATCCAGTTTGGCAGGATGGGTAATTTCTGGGTCTCAATGGGATCCTATCTATTTATTAGATTTTGAATCCTGTTTTTATAAGTAACTCAAGATGGGAAACATATGAAATCCTCCTTCTGCTTTCCCACAACATCAATCCTGTGAGGTGAGTTGGGTTGAGAGAAGGTGACTGACCTTAAGTCATCCAGTCAGCTTTCAGGCCTAAGACCCAGGAGGCATATTCCACCTTGTGGATATTCTTCTTTTGGATATTAGAATGCCCTGATCTGGTTTTGCACCTGCACCTGGGGCCCCGAGTGGGTAAAAGGTGCTGTGTCTTGGCTGTGCAAGTGACTGTTGATTGTGATATCTTCCTCAGCTGCTGTGCATTTTAATTTTTGTATTTGTGGTTGGAATTGTTAATTTATTTGAAGATTGCTTGCTGCCCAGAGTCATTTAATGAGATGGGTGGCCATACAAATTGAATAAATGTTTGAGTAAACAAACATTGCAAAAATAAAAATAAAAAGGAAGGAATGGAGGGAGGGAGAGAGGGAAGGAAGGAAGGAAGGAAGGAAGGAAAGAAAGAAAGAAAGAAAGAAAGAAAGAAAGAAAGAAAGAAAGAAAGAAAGAAAGAAAGAAAGTAAGTTCAGTGTCACTAAATCACATAAGAATCAAACCCAAACTCTTTTAATGGCAATTGCACTCAAACAAACTTTTGCTACATTTCTGAGAAATGTATGTGGAAAAATTTGCTAGGAAAAAGCAAACAATTTCAGTTTCAGACCAGCCTGCACAGTAAGCAGTGAAGTTATAAGCTTAGCACACCAAGCAAGATACAAGTAGTCCTCAACTTACGACTGGTCACTTAGCAACTGTTCACACTTATAATGGACATATGTGGGGGCTACTTGCAATTTGGATTCAAAATATGAACAGTTGGGCCCACCCAGGACCATGTGATCAAACTCAGCAACTGTTTGAACATTCCATGTGACCATGTTGTACAATGGTTTGCTGAAAACTGGCATTTACTTCCAGTTTTCAGCAAAACCACATCCATAGCATACCATTGGTTGGTTAAACTACTGCGACATTTGCTTAACAACCGCATTGGCCACTTTATGACCGTGGCATTCATTTAATGACACTGCAAAAAGGGTCATAAACCTTTACCAATTTTCACAACTTACAAAGAGGACTTGACAAAGATTATCTGTTTATCTGACACATGGTTTACTGCAGTGTTTCTCAACCTCAGACACTCTGCTGCCTGAGGAATTCTGGGAATTGAAGTCCATCTTAAAATCACTGAGGTTGAGAAATACTTCTACTGAATTAACTGCAGAGTTGAAATAGACGCAGAAACAGCCTGAATAGCAGATGTGATTAAATGGGCTACAATGAACTTGGACCATTGTCTTTCCTACTCTGGGGTCACATTGTGAAAACACACAAATGGATTGTAACATCCACCCTCGTATTCCCTTTAGTGGACTGCGAAATATGTTCAGCTTCCCTTTTCTTTTTATTTTGCATTCTGCTTTCTGTCCTTGCAGCTGGCTCCATCCTTTACCTTAGCTGAGCTGAGAAAATCCCCCCCCCCAATTCCCTTAAGGAGTGTCGGGAAAGGAGCAGCTGGGAAACATGAAGGAGGCTTAAGAAACTGACAAACAAGGGACGAGAGTTTGGCATTGCACTCCACTGAGCCAGGGTGCAACGCACACTTTCCAATAGTTGTGCCAGACGCCTCCCCTTAACCCAAACTTCACATCACATATGCCCATAATTCTCCTGGAACAGCTAGATAGCCAATCACAACACACAGCTGGGCAACCGGGTGAAGCCCAGCTGGTAACTCAACAATAATTTGCTGCTTTTTATAGCTAACTCCAGAGGTTGAAATCAGGGTGCAGAGTGAGTGCACTGTCCTTCAGAGGACAATAAATTATCACTGGTTTTTGGGCAGAATCTCAGTCCTAATAATTCCTCCAAATATTTGGCACTCACCCATATCCAGCAGAGGCTGCAGTTCAAGCAGCGATATCATCAGTTCAGGAATGCTTTTTTTTCAGCACCCACTGTTTTTACCATCTCCTTAAGCTTTGCTACTGTCAGAGTTTCCATCTCAGCCTAATTTTAAATAAGGATGTAAATAAAGACTTAAGATTTTGATTTTGGGGCTACATCCATTTTGCAACCAAAGTAAAAATAGCAACAGCACTTGGATTTATACACCGCTTTACAGTATTTTATACCGCTTAACAGTACTTTGCAGCCCTGTCTAAGCTGTTTACAGAATCAGTATATTTCTCCCAACAATCTGGGTCCTCATTTTTCGTGGCACGACAAAACCGCGCCCGACTAAGCCACGCCCGATTAAACCGCGTCACTGACGTCATCAACAGGGCGACAACAAGCACAGAGAAAGAAGGGCGCTTTAAATAGCGCTTTGAAAGCAAGCCGATTCAACTTAAGGTAAGGGTTAGCTTTAGGGTTAGGGTTAGGGTTAGGTTAAGGGTTAGGGTTAGGGTTAGGTTAAGGGTTAGGGTTAGGTTTAGGGTTAGGTTAAGGGTTAGGTTTAGGGTTAGGTTTAGGATTAGGTTTAGGGGGGTTAGGTTTAGGTTTAGGGGTTAATTTTAGGTTTAGCGTTTACAGCGTGCTTCTGTCTCCGCGCTGTTGTCGCGCTGTTGATGACGTCAGCTACACGGTTTCGTCGAGCGCGGTTTAGTCAAACACGGTTTTGTGGTGGAACCCTCATTTTTACCCACCTCAGAAGGATGGAAGGCTGAGTCAACTTTGAGCCTGGTGAGATTTGAACTGACAAATTGCAGGCAGGCAGCAGGCAGCAGAAGTAGCCTGCAGTACTGCACTCTAACCTCTGTCCCACTATGGCTCATTCAAAGTACCCACCTTTGTTGCCCAGGAAAGGAGAAACATTAGTACAAAACATTTTCAAGAAGTTGCCAGTTAGGAAAAACTTAATTTGAAACATAAGGGGGAGGGAGGCACAGACAAAGCTGGGTACTGTTTATTCTGTACATGACAAAATTGTCTTACGTTTAAAGTGATAATTCCTAAAGCCTCTTTCTTTGTGGACCACTGTGCGGTCAGGAGGATATAAGGCAAATTGAGACATGTTCTGTTCTCTTCTGAAGCTTTTCTTTTCTTGGATTTATCCATGGTTGGCCTTCCAGGGTCAAAGAGCTCAATAAGTCACGTTCTGGCGGGTGTCACATATTTTGAACAACAGGGAGCCGCAGCAGAGGGATGAAAGAGCCACATGCGGCTCCAGAGCCTCAATTTTCTCAACCC